TAGGGGTCCAAAGGGTCATTGGAGAGGCTCTGGAGGCCCAAAGGGGGTGTGGGGGTCTGAAGGGGGTTTAGGGCTGTGAGAGGGGCTATAGGGTCCCAAAGGGGATGTAGGGTCCTTGGGGAGGCTCTGGGGGCCTGAAGAGGGTGTAGGGTCATTGGGGGGGTTATAAGGGTGGCTATAGGGGCACCAGTGGGGGTTAGGACAGGCAGGGGATGGGAAGCCTTGCCCAACCTCAGGCTCCCTCTCCACTGCTTCACCCCCTCGCTGACCCATTCCTCCCCCCCAGAGTGCATGAGACCCTTGGGACGTTCGAGCCCAGAGCTGTGCTGGGGGCCTGAAGAGGGTGTAGGGTCATTGGGGGGGTTATAAGGGTGGCTATAGGGGCACCAGTGGGGGTTAGGACAGGCAGGGGATGGGAAGCCTTGCCCAACCTCAGGCTCCCTCTCCACTGCTTCACCCCCTCGCTGACCCATTCCTCCCCCCCAGAGTGCATGAGACCCTTGGGACGTTCGAGCCCAGAGCTGTGTCCTCCAGCCACCCATATCCCCACCCCAACTCCCCGCTGTCCCCATGGCACTGGGCCCTCCGCCCGAGGAGGGCACTGTGACCGTCATGGTGCGTGTGCGGCCCTCTGCCCCGTGTGAGCGAGAGCGGGCTGCACACCCCGTCCTGCGCGTCGTCGACCAGAACATCCTCATCTTCAACCCCGAGGAGCCCAGCGCTCCCTCTGGCAGCGTGGTGTCCACCCGTGGGCCCAAGCACCAGGGCAAGGACCTGAAGTTTGTCTTCGACCGGGTTTTCGGGGAGAGAGCGACTCAGGAGGAGGTGTTCCAGCACACCACCCACAACGTGTTGGACAGTGTCCTCAATGGCTACAACTGTTCTGGTAAGAGCTGGCAAGCGCCTTCAATCCTTGCAGGAGCTCCTGCCCAATCTCTCCAGGGCTGGGTGGGCTCGGTGGAGCTGTGGTTTTATTTCGGAAGCTCTCAAGCAGATGGGGAGAGGGGGGCACAACAGTGATGCAAAAAGATAAAGCCTTAAGCTTGTTGGCGGCACCAAGCTGGGCCGGTTGCATACATGAGCAGGACAGGGATGATCCTGACATGGAAATGTCGTCTAATCTCAGCAGGTAAATGAGGGGAAGTGAAACATGAAGCGTTCGTATAGAATCACAGAATGGTTTGGGTTGGAAGGGACCTTGAAAGATCATCCAGTCCCACCCCCTGCCCTGGGCAGGGACACCCCCCACCAGCCCAGGTTGCTCCAAGCCCCGTCCAACCTGGCCTTGAACACCTCCAGGGATGGGGCAACCTGCGCCAGGGGCTCACCACCCTCATCATAAAACATTTCTGTCTTATGTCCAATCTAAACCTTTCCTCTGTCAGATAAGACCATTGCCCCTTGTCCTGTCACTACAGGCCCTGTTAAAGAGTCTTTCTCCATCTTTCCTGCAAGCCACCCCTTATACATTGAAAGGTGACAATAAGGTCTCCCGGCAGCGTTCTCTTCTCCAGGCTGAAAAACTCCCAACTCTCTCAGCCTCTCCATAGCAGAGCTGTTCCAACCCTTGGATCATTTTCTGGACCTGCTCTGACAGGTCCACATCTTCCATGTACTGGGATCCCCAGAGCTGGACCAGGTGGGGTCTCACCCTTTTGTTGGGAGAGGGTTTGTGGAGCAGGCAGGGAGAGACCTGCCCGGCCTGGCAAAGCAGGTGAGAAAGAACGGTGTGAAGTTTAACACGGAGGGGTGCAAAGTCCTGCACCTGGGATGGGATGACCCAGGAACCCAGTACAGACTGGGATCTGCATGACTGGGGAGCAGCCTCGCTGGGAGGGACCTGAGGGTCCTGGTAGGCAAGGAGCTGAATGGGAGTCCGCAGTGTGCCACGGGAGCAGTGAAGGCAAGTTCTTTTCTGCAGCCACAGTGATGTTTCTAGCTGAGGTAGATCATCCCACCCAGTGCTTGTCAGGTCGCACTCGGGGCGCTGTGTCCACCTGTAGCCCCCACAACTCAAGAAGGACACAGGCAGAGTGGAGAGGCTCCAAAGGAGGGCCACGGAGATGATTCAAGGGCTGGAGAACGTGCCCTAGCAGGAAAGACTGAAGGAGTTGGGGCTCTTCTCCTTGGAGAAGAGAAGGCTCGAGGGGGACCTCATTGGTTTTTGAGTACTTAAAGGGTGGCTACAGAGAGGATGGAGTTTCTGTCATCACAAGATGATGACAAGGGGCAACAGGTATGTGTTGTACTGAGAGATTTCTCTTCAATATAAGAAAGATGCTTTTTACGGTGAGAACATACACTGGAACAACCTCCCCAGGGAGGTAGCGGAGTCCACATGGCTGGAGGTGTTCAAGATGCCACTTGACAGGTTGTGAGATAATCTCATCCAGGTTCCTTTTCCCACAAAAGCTTGTACCAGATGATCTCTTCAGGTCCCTCCCAGCCTGGGCTGTTCTGTCATTCTGTGATACTGAGAGCTGCAGCGGCGCTTGGCGCTCTAGGAGGTGTGATGTAGAAGGTGGAGGTGGGCGTTGGGGTAGAAAATGAGTCTGGGCAGGTGCTTTCCGGGTATTTTGAGGGATGAGGATCGCTTGATCTCCGCTCTCCTGGGGCGGGAAGGATGGGAAGAAACCAGGTGGATCCATGGTGCAAAGAGCGCCTTGGTTTTGCCGTCCCTTCCAAGCCCAAATTGCTGTGATGGGCAGAGCTTCAAGAGGATGTTGAGTGTCGGAGTGGGATCTGGGGTGAAGCAGACGCATGTTGGGATGCTTTGGGGGCTGCCGTGCACCTCGCGCGTGTCTCCCAGGCTGGCAGCACCGCAAAGCTGGGTCTGGAAAGCTCCGTGCCGGGTCTGAAAGCTCCTCGCCCGCCGCCACAGACCCTCGTGCTGTTCACAGGCTGTCAGCCGACGAGCGGCTTAACGAGCACATCACTTCTGCGAGGCAGGCACCAAGCAGGAGACGACCGCTCTCCTGTCTAATCATGTGCCGGGCCGGGCACTGGGACCGGAGGATGCTATTCCTGGCTCTCCAGCGTGCTCTGCGAGCCGCTGAAGGCTGCCTCTGTCACCGTGCCCACCTGGCAGGCACATCTCGTGTCTCTATCTGCATAAAATAACTCCAGGATCCTTAAATGAGAGAGTTGCGAAGAACCGAGTGCCGCTAATGGGGAGAAGGGCTGAGGCTCTCTAGATTAGTGTGTCCTGCTCTGACGGTGATGCTTCAAAGAGGGTGTTGAAAGATGGGGGGGAAAATGAGATGAATTACAAGGTCTGGAAGAAGGAACACCTTCTGGCGAGAGACGGGGGAATGGGGCTGCTCAGCTTGTTAAGGGGAAGGTTCAGGGGTGACTTGAGCATCTAAGCAGGTGATGGTTTGGGGACTCATTCTGTCTCTGTCTGCTAAATTAGAGAGGCTGAAACGAGGAAAGAAAAGAATTGCACTAAAGGCTAGTGCAGCCAGCAACGGAGGGTAATTAGCTTTGCCTCATCTCCGCAAAGCCTGCGAGCGACCCCCGCTGCAGGGATTGCTGCGGGAAACTCTCCGCTCCGGTAAGGAGCGGACGTTACGCCTGCTCCCGTTAATTAATGTTTGTTTCAACCGTCCACCCTTTCTCCTCCCAGTGTTTGCCTACGGCGCAACTGGAGCAGGAAAAACCTACACCATGCTGGGCTCGGAGAAAAACCCCGGCATCATGTACCTCACCATGGTGGAGTTGTACAAGAAGATCGAAGCCAGAAAGGAGGAGAAGAGCTGCGAGGTCCTCGTCTCCTACCAGGAGGTACGCTGCCGCTGAACCACGTCCCTTCCTGCCTCCAGGTCACCATTGCTAAGATTTGGGGTTGATCCGGACCCCATAGTGCCACACTTGGGCTACTCGCTGTGCCTGGTCTCCCCAGGGCAGCCCTAGAGCCTGACTGCAAGCAGGCTCACCCACCCAGTTTGGTGAACTGGTGCTGCTGGTTCCTCTTATCTGGAGTCAGGGAATTTTCTCTGCCTTGCTGTGGTCCACGTAGCGATGAGGTCTTCCCGGCCGAAAGGGCTTTAGAGGAGCGGTGGCACAGTGACTTGCCGGTAAAGCCCTCCCGAGCTGTCCTCTGCGGTTAGAGCACCATCGGCTGCTCTCGGTGTAACGAGGTCCCGGAGGTGGTGTTGCGGGGGGGACACCAGGTTGTGCGTGACGCTGGGGTACAAAGCTCCTCTCACTGCTGGGGAACCAAACCTCGGTCTTACATCGAGTTCCCTGCTCCAGGTGTACAACGAACAGATTCACGACCTGCTGGAGCCCAAGGGCCCTCTGGCCATCCGGGAGGATCCTGAGAAAGGAGTTGTGGTTCAGGGTCTCTCCTTCCACCAGGTGGGTATAAAAATGGGCACAAGGTCTGGGCAATGCTGCACCTACACCAGTTCTGAAAGGGAATGCGTGTCCCGGGGACACGGGGAGGGTGTGAAGGTACGAGGGGTGCTGTCTGCACAGCTCTTGGCTGGCAGCAAACGTGACCCCGAGCTGAAACGAGCCACGCCGAGCTGCGGGATGCCTCAGCCTGAGTCGCCGTGGCTGCTCGGTGTCGGGTTGTCTCAGTGCCCGCGTACGGGCTGCGCTCATACCTCCCCTCTGCCTGTTCTCTCCCAGCCCTCGTCGGCAGAGCAGCTCCTGGAGATGTTGGCCAACGGCAACAAAAACCGGACGCAGCACCCCACTGATGCCAACGCCACCTCCTCCCGCTCGCATGCCATCTTCCAGGTGAGGGCTGGTGGTTGCGGTATTGCTCGGGACCTGGGCCGAAAAGGGGGCTAGGGAGCAAGCCCCTGCCAGGACCAGCATCGCGGGGATCCTGCCGCTGCTCCTGGTGTGCCATGGGGTAAATCAGAGCGGTTATGGCTCTAAAAAAAGAGCTATGGGGCTGGGCAGGCCACTAGCCAGTGCTGCAGCAGGACAGTACGTACTGGTCTTGCTGGTGGCCACGTCTCCCGGACAACCCCGTACTCCCAGCTTGGTGTTACGTCTCCCAAGGGCTGAAATTTTACTTTGTGCTTTTGACTCTTGTCAACTTAGCGCGTGGGAGCCGTACCTAAAACCTGACCCCGAGCAAAGGGGGCCACTTATCGCTGGCTTGTGCTCGTTCTTTCCCCCACCCCGGGTGCCACGGGGCACTCTGTCTCCTCTGTCGTGTTCCCCCTCGGCACTGAGCTGGGAATTACGCTCCCTCGGGTGGGGGTCTGTAGGTTTGCCCCCTGGTTTCTCGGCGCTCTCCTGCACAAACCTGCCGGTTGATTTCAATTCCAGCCAGGCCCTTCCCTGAATTAGCAGGGCCGTCACGGCTGCGTGGGGAGACGGAGGGCTCCGCCTGTAATTTCAGTCTGAACCTGGTGCCTTGCCTGTTGCTGCTTGCGAGGGGGAAGTCCAGGTGTCTGGATGCTTTCCCAGCCAGCTTCCCAGCTGGGTTTGTCGGTGGGTGCTGGATTCCTGCCTGCCGCGAATCCATTAGCTGTGCTGGAAATCTGCCCTTCCCGCTGCTGGCTCTGCCTCCCCGCAGGCAAACCACACTCTGGTGAGGATGCAGGACCAGTTACCAGCTTCCAGCATCTGTCTGGTACCTCCAGTCTGTGCAGGAGTTGCTCCTGGAGGGCTGAAGGTGTTATCGGGTGTGGGGGGGAAGCGGTTGCTTCTCCTGGGAGATCTTTAGGGGTGCAGAAGGGGATGTTATGAGGTTGTGGTGCCAGGTGAGTCTCGGTGGCTGTGTCCCTCCCAGCCCATACCAGCCAGGAACTGGGCTCAGCACGGAAAGCCCTGGCTGGATGCCTCCCTGGGGGCGTTACACGGTTGTGTCTGGGGGGTTGCAGCCCCCATTGCTGTCTAAGTTTGCTGGCAAAATCCACAGTCGGAGTCGGGGCTGGTGCTGCCACGTACGTGAGCACTTCCCAGGCCGTGCCGGAGCTCTGGGCTGGCGTGTTGCCCTTCAAGGACCCCACCAGCTGTACCCCGCTCGCTCAGCAAGCGTAGGAGATGCTGACTATTTCCCGTAGCTCTGTCATATCTTGTGAGATCCCTTCCGTGGCTTTGCTACTCGTGTCACCGCCGAGTTTTTAACTTGTCTTCTCAGTGCTGCGCTCCTCTTTCCCCCCTGCTCCGTCTCACAGCCTGTGTGATCCTCTTTGCCATCCTTTTATAAACATTGAAGCTGGTGATGCTGACTCCAACGAGCAACGCTGTGAGCCTTGTTGGGCCGCAGCCTCACCGATCTCTGTCCTTACAGATCTACGTGAAGCAGCAGGACCGCGTTGGCGGCCTCGCTTGCGATCTGCAAGTGGCCAAGATGAGCTTGATCGACCTGGCAGGCTCGGAGCGAGCTTCAGTCACCAACGCCAAGGGAGAGCGGCTCCGGGAGGGTGCCAACATCAACCGCTCACTGTTGGCCCTCATCAACGTCATCAACGCGCTGGCCGATGCAAAGGTAACACTGTTCGTACGGCCCTGCCGGGCTTTGGCTCCCCGAGATGGGTGAATGTGAGGGGTGTCCTCAAGTGACGGTCTAGCCGGTGCGGGGAGGGCAGCAGGCTGAGCTGGGCTCTGAGACCTGCTGTGGGATGAAGGTGGCCGTCCCTTCGCGATGTAGAATTTGGAGTTGAGCGCCCAAGGGCTAAAAGCTGAGCAGACCCTTGATCTTTTGGTACAGAGCAAGAAAACTCACATCCCCTACCGGGACAGCAAGCTCACGCGCTTGCTGAAGGACTCCATTGGTGGCAACTGCCGCACCATTATGATCGCCGCTGTCAGTCCCTGCGCGCTGGCGTACGAGGACACCTACAACACGCTCAAGTACGCCAGCCGGGCCAAGGAGATCAAGCTGTCGGTGAGGACCTCGTGTTGCGGCGATGAGCTGCCGTGCGTTGGGGAGCTGCTGGGGATGGGTGGGAAGGAGCCTTGTGCACGGTGGGGCAGATTAGTGGGTACCTCCCTTCTCCTGCTTGAGGTTTCCAGCTCTGGGGATGCCGCTCTGGGCAGAAAGCAGCTGCTGAAGCTGCAGACACCGCGTGCCTGGTTTTCTCCTAAAGCTCCTCAGCCCAGAAAGGCTCATGACTGGGACAGCAGGTCCCTGAGCACAGGTCGTGTCCGCTGGGGCCTGGAAGAAGCTGAGTAGTTGTGCTGCTCCAGTGTCAGGAGAGGGTAACATGCTGCCCCGGTCTTCTTTAACCTCTCGCTTGTCCATGTCTCTGCAGCTGAAGAGCAACGTGCTCAGCTTTGACTGCAACACTAGTAAATACGCCGTGATCTGCGAGCAGCTGAAAGCAGAGGTGAGGCGCTGGCAGGGAGGGCAGGGCTCTGTCTTCAGCTGTGGTTTGCTTGGGCCATGGACCTCTGAGCTCCCGGGGGGGGGGTGTGATACCATCCAAGCAACGGATGATCCTTCCTCGCAGGTGGCAGATCTGCGGGCAAAGCTCCGTGCCTATGAGGACACTGCCCGGGAGGCAGAGAACCAGGTGCTGGCGCCACTGGCTCCACTCAACTCGAGCCTGGTGGAGCTGCCCAGGTGAGTCTGGTGGGGAGGAGGGACAGAACTTGGTGTGACCTCCTGGTGTCCCCCAGTGACAAGGACCCTGAGGGTTTTCATGCTGGTTGGAGCCGAGGTGTCCGTCAGAAAGCAGATGAGCTGCTCTGCTGGTGTGCACCGTCATCTCGACTGTGGTGGGGTGTAGCCAGAACCTGACGGACCACAGCGTGCGAGCACTGGGGGGAGCCGGCTTGCAAAGGCCAAATCTGTTTGATCCACCCCAAAACTTCTTACGTAAAATGACGGCTTCACCGGAGGATCTTCTCTGGCTCAGTGGCTTCTTCTCTGGCTTCTGTAGGTTGGAGGAAGCCGTCCCGAAGACGTGCCTTGCTCTGGATGATGAGGTGGAGCACAATGGAGAGCAGCGGGAGCTGGAAGCGGGGTGGCCTGTTCAGCCGCAGCTGGAATCGGTGGAGGAGGTGAGAGAAGGGGAGGGCTTGGCGTGATGAGCAGAGCCCAGAAGAGGTTGGGGGGCCTCAAATACTCTCGTGGAGTACGCTGGGCGTGCTGGGAGAGGGCAGGAGCTCAGCCTGGGGTCCTGGCTCAGTATGTGCTGTGGATTGCTGGCGAAACCCCTTAACTTCCCAGCTAACGGGGAGTTTGGGGGCCATATTCGGCTCAAATATGGGCTGATCGTGGGTTTCTGGGTGATTGCTCCAGGCTCCAGAGGAAATGCCCCCCAGCAGCCCCACGGCAACCCACCAGACAGATGTCCAGCTGGAACCGAAGACGCCAAACTGCCTTCTACAGGGATTGTCCGGCAGCCGGAGAGAGACGTGAGTGTGTTTGTGCTGTCCCCATGTACCACGTCTTGTTTGCCTATGGAGGATGGGTTGTCCACCCTCCTGTGTTGCACACGTCCATCCCAGGGATGGTCTGGATGGACGTGGGACCAGGTCTTTGTTTGCAGATGACTGCCTGCCGTGGAAAATAAGGGATTTGGCTCTTGGAGATCAAATCCCATGGGATAACCTCTCCTGGAAATGCCAGCAATGAAGGTTTCCAGGCACAGCCACTGTGTGAGCCTTAAGTGCACGTTGTTAGTCCTGAAATTACCTCCGCGAAGTCTTTCCTCCTGCCTCAGCTCCCCCAGGTCCTGCCCTGGCAGGGCTCCCATGGCACCATCTGCTGATGTCTCTGCCCCAAGCATCTTGGCAGAATGAACCTCTTTAGAAAGGTCTCCTGAGGGAGGCTGGCCTTGACGTGTGCCTGGATCTCTGTCTGCCTCCAGCCGAGCTAAAGAGTGTCTGAGGCTCAGCGAAAGGTCTGTGGATGCCATTTGGTCCCTTGTACCCAACAGGGGAGCACACAACTCACAGCTCAGGTTCTCCAGCAAGAGATTTACAGCTTGGGTGTCTCACAGCTTCAAAGTTTGCCTCTCTTGCCCCAAAACTCTGCTAATAGGTTCTGCTCCCCCAGAGAAGGTGTCTCGGAGGTGGTGCTGAGCCTCTGGTACTGGTGATGCTGGCTGAAGCTCATCTGCTAACTGGTTCTTGGATCTGTTTCTCTGTCCCAGGCTTATAGCTGCTATCCTGAGAGTTGCCCGAAAGCAATATTCCCTCCTGAAGGCTGCCAACCTCCTAACTCCTGACATGGTCTCTGAATTTGAGGAAATGGAGCGCCTGGTCCATCGGGAGGCTGATGTAAGCCTGGAGCAACCCATGTCTCCCAACAGACCCTCGGAGGTCAGCGGGGCCACCGCAGCCCAGAATATGCAGCAGAGCTGTGACGGTGAGGTTTTGGATTTGGGGCAGTCGGTGCTGTCCCCTCTCCTTTGTCTCGGCGTGCGCTGGAGGAGCCGGTGGGGGGCAGGGGCAGCTCCCCGCCGTGGGCACAGGGCGGAGAGATGAGTTTCTCCTGACGTGACGCCCAGCGGGTTCTGCCGAGAGCATCTCCAGCCTCGCTTTATAGAGTGATTCAGGTTAGCCAGCATCTCCGGCAGCCCGGGGCACGGCAGGAGCCGCTGAGCAGCCCTTGTCTCCAGGGAGCTCAGCGTGTGTGTGCAAGTCAGCTTAAACGTGAATGATATTTGTGCTTCAGGAGACCAAAGTGGCAGTTCTGATCCTAATTTTTTTTTTTTTTTTTCCTTTCCTTTCTCGTGTTGTTTACTCCCCCGTGGTACGTTTGCCCAAGTCAGCCCGGCTGTAGCCTTCCAGCTGACAGCCTGCATCTGACCGGGGCTGAGCTCTTCCTCCTCATCCTCAGTGTCACTGCACAAACCCGATGGCGAAGCCGTGGGTTCTGCAGTCCCTGTTTTCCAGGGACAGACCAGGCACTGCCATGAGGCATTTGCTTTGGGACCAGTCCGGTGCCTTTAGGGCTGGCAAGGCACAGGATTGTTTGTGCCGGCTCTTTTCTTCTGGGTTTAACGCGGTTTGATGGAAACACCCGCTGGCAAACGGCTGCTGTAGGGTTCTCTGGGCAGCTCTCTGCTGAGCTGTGACGGGGGGCGGAGGGGATGCCTTGGGGTTTGGGGGTGCCTGGGAACTGCAGACAGGGAGGTGACTCTGTTTCTTCTCTTCTCCTTTAGCAGAGGCGTCTGTCGCCATGCCCGGTGCCCCTGTGACAAGCGCTGCCCTGCAATGCTCGCAGCAGCTCACTCCGCTCTCCAGTCCCACGCCAACAGCTCTCAGCCCAATTAAGAAGAGGAGGAGGTCTGAGATGAACGCCGCTTCCCAATCGGAAGCTCCCCGCAGCCTCGAAACGCGGATAAAACGCCAGCGGAGAGGTGGGAAAGAAGCAGAGACTCCCAGGGTGATGCAGAACCCAGGCAGCCCCTGTCTCAAAGCGGCAGCCCAGGCACCCCCCGTCTCCTCAGTGCCATCGTGTTACACCTCCAAAATCTGCCCGCTGACGGTCACCAAAAGCCGCGTGCCCCTGGCGATGTCGGCTGCCCAAAACTGCACCCTGCCTGCCGTGCCCATCCACGACCTGAACGTGACTTTTGACGTCTCCGAGGACGACGGGTCACCTGACGCAGTTGTGCCGGTTGCCATCAGCCTGTCTGAATTCCCGGTCTGGGAGAACATCCAGAGCCTCCAAAACAAGCAGGACAGCCCCGTCATGCCCAGGTAAGCGCTGCCCTGGATGGGTTACCCATGGTTTTTGGCGATTTACCTCCCCCTCCCTGCAGTGGTCTTGCTGTCTGGGTGAATCCTTCGTGGATCCCTGCAGCTCGGCGGCGAGGGGAGGCTGGGCGGAGGCCGGGCAGCCAGTGGGCCGAGCTCGCGTGTCAATCGCTTGCAAAGATATAAAAAGCTTTCCAAGAAAATCTATTTCTCCGTTTCCCTTTGGACATGGAGGAGCATCCTCTAGATGGCTTCTGGAGCCCAAATGCTGGCTGGGAAGCAGGCAGGGCATCGCCTCCCCTCCCACAGGGGTTGGGATGAGGGTCGGGACTGTGCACTGCGGGGGTTTTGAGTTTTGGGATTTATTTTTTCTTTTATTGCTGGCGCTTCAAAGAGGCTCTGGCTTCTAGAGAGCTTCATGAATGTGTGTGACCATCCAAAACCAGAGATTGGCACAGCCTTGGTGGCACAGGACACCCTTAGGTCTCTCTGTCTCCTCCTATAGCTCTAGGGAATGGTCCTTACAGCTTTAGGAAATGGTCCCTATAGTGGGTAACTGGGGAAATTTGAGGTACAGGGGAACAGCCCGGCCTTAGGCAGACGCTGTACCCGGGCGGCTGCCACCTCCTG